GACCTGTCTTGCATTCCGGAGGAACTTGGATAGAGTTAGACTTTCTCCTTACCATTAGTATGGTAGCGGAAATAGTGCCTTTCCTGCCCAGTCAGAATCCAGCATTTATGGGCTCGAAGGATGCAGAGAGAATGCTTATTTTCTTGATCCCGGGAATCAGTTCCTCTGGTTCAGCCTTTTTGCAAATACCTTCCTGCTTGGTGCCACTCAATTGTTGTTGTTGTTAGGTGCCATCGAGTCGATACCGACCCATAGCGATCTTATGCACAGCAGAACAAAATTAGCTACCCGATGTTCCCTGATCCATTTTGGTAGTTCACTAGGGTAGGCAACACACTTTTTTTTTTCTCTTCCAGGTCAATATCCAACGCAGCCAACCTACCCAGTGCAGCCTCCTGGGAATCCAGTGTACCCTCAGACCTTGCATCTTCCTCAAGCTCCACCCTACACTGATGCACCACCTGCCTATTCTGAGGTGTTTGCAGTTTTCTAGACTTAAGATAATACACCTAGACCACATTTTCAGTTCTTAGTTAGTTGTGCTCTACATATTTTGCTCTTAACAAATAGAAGAGCGCTCATGTGAGTAAACAAAAATGCTATAGTTCAGCAATTTCATTTGCGTTTGAGAATGCATTCCGTGGCTGTTAATGCTGTTTGACACAGGCTGAGGTTAAGATGGGTTTGTTGTATACCTTGAGCCTAACATTAACCATCACAAGAAGTGAGCAGGAAAATACTGAGTGGTAGTGGAAAGGCAACTTGTATAATTTACAGAATGTTATTTGCACCAGGTGATTTGACTCACTGAAGAGATTCCATGTAGTAATGTCATAAAGTAACACTTTCCTTTCTTCTGCCTCTTTTAGCTCTATCGTCCGAGCTTTGTGCACCCAGGGGCTGCTACTGTCCCCACTATGTCAGCTGCATTTCCTGGCGCCTCACTGTATCTTCCCATGGCCCAGTCCGTGGCTGTTGGGCCTTTAGGTTCCACAATCCCTATGGCTTATTATCCAGTTGGTCCCATCTATCCACCTGGTTCAACAGTGCTGGTGGAAGGAGGAGGGTATGATGCAGGTGCCAGATTTGGAGCTGGGGCCACTGCTGGTAACATCCCTGTGAGTATGAAGTCATCAGAAAATATGCAGCCTTTGTGTATTTCAAGTTTCTGAAATGACCCATTCCTGGATAATAGTTCCTAGTAGTGGTAAAACCACTGACTTACCGTAGGCTGGCAAAAAGTGGTTAGGAGGGTCGAACTGGCAAGGAGTAACATCTGACACATTGCTCATGAGGTTCAGAGTCATTGTCTTAGTTAATCAGATTGCTTTCCTATTATGAGTTGTTCTGCTTTATTCAGATACTTTCTTATGAGTTGGTAACACTATTCATTCCTTAAGCATTGGTATTTGCAATTAGCAGTTGAGAACCTAGACTTTAAAAAGTAGAATGCAAAATCCCTATTAAGCAGCTTTTAGAAAGAATACTATTGGTCGAGTTGTGTGGGGTTGTTACTCTGGAGTTGGTTATTATGTTTCCCTATGCATGGGGTTCTGAATGTTGATCCTTTTAAGGGCTCTTCATTCAGTGATCATATACTAAAGATAAGACCAGAATGATGCCTTCATTGGTCTAATTAAAAACTGTTCAAGGGTCCTGTGGGATAGGGCCACAGACCTGGTACCGCACCTGAAGATGAGCGGCTGTAGGGCTGGACTACCCACATGTATTAGAAGGTATCCACAGGCTTCATCTTGGAGCTCGAACCTTTGAACAAGTAACAGACTCCCTTCCCTATTTGTATGTTAGGAATTCACAGAGAATTATGAGGGGCTTCCAAAAGTTCATGGGAAAATCAATGAAGAGATAGAATTTCCCCATGAACTTTTTGAAGCCCCCTTGTGTAGACCTGCTTTAGAGCCCAAATTGATGGCAGACCTAGCTCATTAAAATGCTACTGGTCTGCACATTGCCACCCTCATACCAGGCCCTGGGATTCGTCTGTGTCCCCTTCCCTGTGCCCACTGACCCTTGTCCTTTCCTTTCAGCCTCCACCCCCTGGATGCCCTCCCAATGCCGCGCAGCTTGCAGTCATGCAGGGAGCCAACGTCCTCGTAACTCAGCGGAAGGGAAACTTCTTCATGGGTGGTTCCGATGGTGGCTACACCATCTGGTGAGGAGCCAAGGTCCCCTCTGTGCCGGGAAAGACATCACATACCTTCAGCACTTCTCACAATGTAACTGCTTTAGTCATATTAACCTGAAGTTGCAGTTTAGACACATGTTGTTGGGGTGTCTTTCTGGTGCCCAAACTTTCAGGCACTTTTCAAACTTAATAAGGAACCAATTATTGGTAGCAGTACCTCCCTAAAGCATTTTGAGGTAGGGGAGGTATCCATTCATAAAATGAATATGGGTGAAGCAGCCCTAAGGATCTTCCTTTAATGCCTCTGGAGTAATACTGTACCATACTGGTCTTTGCTTTTAGTAATAAAACATCAAATTAGGTTTGGAGGGAACTTTGATCTTCCTAAGAATTAAAGTTGCCAAATTATTCTGATTGGTCTTTAATCTCCTTTTAAGTCTTTGATTTCTATTACTTGTTATAAATGAAACGCATTAGTTGTCTGCCTTTCCTTTCCATCCTTTGCCCCTCATCCCACCCCTACCCCCAGTCTTCTAGTCCCTCCCACCAGTCTCCATTGAATCAATGGTGCAGGACAGAAAGCCAGTCAAATAAGTTTCTTCTCTCCTTGCACTTCTCCCCACTTGCCATTGTTTAAATAGTCATTCACAAGGATCCTCTGAAACTCCCTCTGTGCTCCCAAGCACAGACCCCATTACTTCTGCTTTTGAATCTCCTCAGGCCAAAATGGAGGGTGCCATTTAGATCTTTGTTTGGGCAGGGGCTGGGGGAGCTTCTTACAGGTTGTCTGTGCATATGAGAACCTAACCCAGATTTGTTTTGGTGCCAGAAAAAGTGAGCTCATGTTTTAAAAAAGGATGTCAATGCAAACTACTGTAAACAACATTTTGTTTAAAATGTGAGGGGTGAGGAGAAGGATGCATTTCAAAAGCCTGGTGATTTTAAAGCCAAATTAGGGGGAGAGTTTTTAGATCAAAAATTAGTTCCCATTGTCAAGGTTGTCTGACGCAGCCACTCCAGGCTCCCACGAATTCCTCAGCTGGGCTAATGGGGTCATAGTGAATATGCCTCCCTGCAAAATGAGTTGAGTCCAGTGAAGTCCCATTAGGGTGAAGAATATTTCAGGGATCCTTAATATTTAGATTTTTTTTATTTTCCTGAAATTGGATTTTATTTTATCTTTATAATTTCAGTTCATCTAAATTTGTGTTCTGTTCCCGTGATGTTTGACTGTGCCGTTGACTGTTAATGGAAGTCCAGCGTTGTATGTCTCTCTCTACACTGTGGTGCACTTAACTTGTGGATTTTTTTATACTAAAATGTAGAATAAAGACTATTTTGAAGATTTGAATAAAGTGATGAAGTTGCATTACACCTCATTGCAAGGATTCTTTACTTAGCTTGCATTTAGAGCTCCTCTGTTTCGTCTTTTACATCCTGCCTAGAATTCAGATAGGCACTGATGTTCTGTTTGTTTTAATCAGGCCTTTGAAATAAATGCAGTCATGGAAGGCCAAGGTTTGACCATTTTCATGAGTTCCACTGTGGGTGTTCACCTGTCTTTCTCTTTACTTCCTCAGCTCTTCCATATTTTTAAAAGCCTGTTGTGCCAAGGAATACAGAACCTAAAGTTAGAAATAAGGGAATGGTTGAGTCTCTTAACTTACCCTAAAGTTTGGCTTGAAAACATTTTTATATAATTTGCATAACTTCAGAGTGACCTATATATTTTCTCTAAAGTTCTGCGTGGAGAAATAACTAACATTCTGTTATCTAAGCCATCAAGACTGAGTTCTTAACTCTTTGGGCAATAGAAGCAAAATACATTAAGACCTCAGAGAAGACTTAGCTTAATTTCAAAGTAAACTATATCTGGGAGCCAATTTCTGCCAAAACCTTGTGCCTTTTAAAGGCATCTCATTTTGATACTAAAATTCATGTCACTTCTCTGGAATTGCTTCCAAAGACACCGGTGGGAAAAGGTGGTAGATTTTTTCCCCTGACTCCCTCAGTCTATAGGTGAAATGGATTCTGGGAAGTTCTGACACTTCCCAGGATGGAGCCTAAACGAATTCATTTTCCAAGGTGTGTTTCCCAGGACTATCTTTGTTTTACATCTGTAAGATAGGTCTGGGAACTTCTGAAACCTCTCTAAGGCTCTTATTGTTTGGGAGGGCATATCCTCAAAGGAGTTAAATAAGCAAAAGAAAGTGATAAAGAGTTTAGTGGGATAAGTTGAAATGTAAAGGGAGTTGCTTCATGTACCTGAGAATCTTAATTTTGGTGTCACTTGATGAAAATGTTTAATTCTGATAAAAATAGTACAAGTTATGAGGTGGTTTGGGAACCTGAGAAGGGAGGGCTCAGATTAAAGTATACAGCACGTTCAGGAGGAGGTCAGGTCTCCTACTTCTGACCTGGTCTTTCACCATGGTATCTGGCCTCTAGGAAAAACTAGGCACAATATCTCGTCTGGGGCTATCACCAGGTAACCAGGTAGGGGGACAAAGTGGAGCAACCAGCAACCCTAACTCTCTTCTCCCTTCCCTCAACCTGTGAGCAAAGTGAAGATGTACGGGCACATACTCATATGTTACTTGGCACAGTCCCACTTCATCAATGGCCAGTCATAAATACCAGTTGTATTAATGAAGATCTGGCTAAAGACATAAGTTGCTTTCTCCATGTCTCTGGAGTCATGCGATACTGACAGGTGGGTCTATGTCCTGGAGGGAGGTCAGATTTGTCCATATCATTCAATGCTTCTTACTGGCGTCTGATGGAACTTTACCTAGTAAACAGTCCACGTGTTAGTGTTAGAGCCTAAGATAAGCTCCTTGGAGGCTGAAAGTCATTAAATGAAATATTCCTCCTTCTCCCTGCCCTTGACTGAGTCGCTTTCCATCTGGAGGATGGTGCTGGGCTCACCACCTGCAGGTTCATAGGTGACGTAGGTGCCTTTGTTCTTGTACAGGTAAAAGAAGATCAAGACCACAACCGAGAGCAGTGTGAGGAAGACCACAGCGATGACAACTAAGGAAGGAGAGGGGAGAAGTAGAGTTAGCAGGATTGAGGATATCTCAGTAATTCTTTGGGTCACTCAAATTATACGACTCCCTCACTTTACATAAGGATCCTCCATTTCCAAAGGGATGTTCCCCTACCAAAGCCAACTTCCATGGAATGTGATATCTGGAATCTCTTGGTACCTAAGTTAAAAAAGACCAGGCTTTTAACTGCTGGCAAAACTGAACTTCCTCCCACCAGTTACTGATAATTCCGATAGAATCAGGAAGGAGGGAAATAGGAAATAGCTTATCCCAGCTGGAAGGTTGTGTGTTTTTTTAAAACTTTATTGTGAATTGAGCGAAGGTTTACAGTGGACATATCATCAGTCCCCCAATAGGAAGCGTTTTTTAAATCCCCAGTCTCGTCAGGTTTCTCTGATCCCTCCCATCTTCTTCCTCACCCACTCAACAAGCCACATATCTCCTCATCCCTACCCACATACTCTTGAGTGTAGTGCCCATATGTACCTATATCTATTTGTGGCCACCTCCCAACCTATCATTTACCAGCAGTGCCTCTGACAAAAGATCCATAAGAGTCTTTTTATAACTCCATGTGTAAGATAACCCACATGCTGAAATGAGCCCATTAATGGATTCGGTCCCTGATGATGTGCTCTTCCTGTATGGAGAATCCTAGCTTGTCACACTGGAGTTCAGGCTGTCTCTGGAGTGGGATGGCCCCTAATTAAAGGTCCCTTAGATTTCACTCAGAATCTTTGTTACCTGCAATGAGTGCTGTACTGGCTTCAGCTTCTGGAGACAGGGCCTCAGTGGCCTGCAGGATTGGGGTGGTCATCAGTTCTTCCCCTGGTAAGTTAGAAATGTGGAAAAGGAAGATGGATGGGGTCAGTTCTTTCGATCTAAAGCAGACGTTTGTCCTTCAGATTTCACCACCTTACTTGCTTCCCAATTCAAAAGTTTACCAGTACAGTCTATCATGGATTGAACTGTGTCCCCTTCAAGTATCTGTCATGGCCGGGTCATGATTTTCAGTGGTTTGGGATTTATGTGACGCTGTAATCATTCCCATTAGATGAATAGCCAACCAGTTGTAACGGGATTAAGGTGGGGGCCTGTGTCACCCTTTTATAAAAGATAAAAGGAGAGAGAAAGAGGGACCTAAGTGCCACCAAGAAAGAAGAACCAGGAGCAGAGCACATTTTATTAGACCTGTGGTCCCTATACAGGGTCGCTATGGACTTGAAACGGACTCGACAGCACATATCAATAACAATAGCGCCTACACTGAGAAGCTCTTAGACCCAAGGGAAGACTGATGCCAAGACACACGTAAATCTCCACTGCTAGGCTAACTGATGTTGAAATGAGACAAGAAAGGACCTTCTCTAAGAGCTTCATCTTGAGCCAGAGTTGAGCCTGAATCTTGACATCTGGCCTCCTAAATTGTGAGGAATAAATTTGTTTGTTAAAGCCATCCACTTGTAGCATTTCTGTCACAGCAGTACTAGATAATGAAGTACGAGATACTTCTATATGGATTCCTTGTAGTAAATCCATGTAGAGAAACCTGGAGACTAGAGGAGAGAGTAAACCAGCACCCAAAGACAACATTTTGAAGGATTTTTCAATTGTCTAATAGAGTGGTTAAAAGTACGGGCTCTACATCAATGGACAAATGGATAAACAAACTTTGGTATATACACACAATGGAATAATAATATGCAACACTGAAGAAATGTGAATCTTCAAAACAACTCATAATATGGATAAACCTGGAGAACATTATGCTGAGTGAAATTAGTCAATCACAAAAAGTATTTGTACCGTAAGAGACCGCATTGTAAAAACCCAAGAAAAGGTTTTTATGCTAAAAGAAACATTCTTTGATGGCTACCAGGGAGGAAGGGGAGAATAATTCCCTGGCTAGAGGGTAGACGCATGTTAACTCAGGTGATAGGGAGGACAAGATACAAGAAGAGGGAGGTGTGTAAGGGTTAAAGAGGATATAGGTAAATACTGTTATATACACAACCTTGGAACAACAGTGTTCTGTGGGTAGAATACACGAACAGATACCAGGGATGGAAAGGAAGGGAGAATAATACACTAGCTACAGGGTAGGCACATGTTAACTCAGGCTAAACAGGTATAGGAGGGAAAGTGTAAAAATACACACAAATATAAAAGGGTTTAAAAGAAGATATTTGTACATTAGTATTTACCTTTGCTGCCAACACACCTATGAATGTGGTGGAGCATACAGGGGGCAAAAATGATAGAAAAACTTCTTTGATACCATCAAATATCTTAAGGCAATGAGTTGCTGGGTATGGGGGCTCAGGGTCATAGTCTCAGAGGATACTATGGTCAATTGACAAAACAGTCTATAAAGACCATGGTCTACATCCTACTTTGGTGAGTAGTGACTAGGATCTGAGGTCTCTCCATGTGCAGAAGAAAGAAGAGTGATGAAAACTGAAGATGCTGGAATCAGAGTACAATGGACCAATGGAACATGTGACTATCAGTCACCACAACTCTGAGATCAGAAGAACTAGATGATGCCTGACTGCCACGACCTACTGCTCTGAAAGGGATTACGTTAGAAGATTCTGGATAGAGTGGGAAAAATGTGGAACAAAACTCAAAATTATATTAAAAAATAAAATACCAGGCTTACTGGTCAGAAAGAGACTGGAGGAACCTAAGACTATAGCTCTGGACCACACTTCAATTCTAGAACAGAACTCCCCCTAGTGGCCCAATTTTCAGTCAAGCAGTAGATAAGTATATAGGGCGGGACAACACCACTAGTAAGGTATGCTCACCATAGAATGGTCAACCATTCAAAATCAAAAGGGCAACATTTACCTAAGGACAAAGTTGAGAAGGGATGGATGGGGAGGAGGGTGGAATGGAAATAGGAACCTCAGGGATGAAGTGGGATAACTGTTGTTGCAGGGAGAGGGTTACAGTCATTGAGATGAAACAAAGTATATGATTGGTTGAATGTAAAACTGATGAGCTTTTCTGTAAACCTTCATCACTCAATTCACAATAAAAAGTTAAAAGAATAAAGTATGGACTCTAGAACTCTGCCATTTACTACTTGTGTATCCTTGGGAAATTATGTAACTCCTTAATGCATCAGGTTCCTCATTTACAAGCTGGAGGTAACATCTAAGTAACTTCATGTTGTTGTTGTTAAGTGCCATGGAGTCGGTTCTGACTCATAGCGACCCTGTACAGGGTTTCCAAGGCTGTAAATCTTTACCGGAACAGAAAGCCTCATCTTTCTCCCATGGAACAGCTGGTAGCTTCGAACTGCTGGCATTTCGGCTCACAGCCTGATTCGTAACCACTACGCTACCAGAGCTCCCTAAGTAACTCCATGGAAGTTAGAAATGAGCTATTACTCAGAATGCATATTTTTACAGAAATAAGATACAGTGATGAATGTTTTTTTTACTTTACACTTTGTGGCATTTGCATTTTTCAGTGTTCTTATAGTCTTTTACAAATCATTTTTAAGTAACAAAATAATGTTCCTCTCCTATTTACAAGATTCTGAAACAAGGTCCCTGACCTAAAAAAAAAACATATCTGGCACCCACCCCCTCCCTGTTATGAGTCTATTTATCTGTGGAAGCCTGGAAGCCTGGCCCCTACGAAACTAACAGTCGATTTGGTTGTTGCTGGCTGCTATTGGGGGTTTTTCTGTGCCATTCCCACGATGAATTACGGAATGGACTGCTGTGACCCTTTAGGTTTTCACTGACTGATATTTTGGAAGTGGATTGCCGGGTTTTCTTTCTAGTCTGTCTTTGTCTAAAGTTGTTCAGCATCATAGCACACCTCCATCAACAGACAGGTGGTAACTGAGCATGCAGTACATGGACCAGAAATTGAATCCGGGTATCCTGCCCTGGAGTTGGAGTTATGAGGATGTAAATCTGAAGTTGACAGGGCAGGAGCGGGAGCTTTTTAAGAGAAAAAGAGAGACACCAGGTCCTAATGGCGTGTATATGAATCCTGAATTCAGCTATTAGGAATGACCCCTGGGAAACACCCTAAATGGGATGTGAGAGCCTCTAATAGGGAGCAAACAGCATTAAGACACTAAAACTACTGACTGCTATTCTTAACAAGGTACTGTGCCAACCTACTTCCAAAACAACAGAAGACATATTTGCAAAGAGGGAGGAATACATACAATGCCTTTTGTTTGGGAATCTTGTCTGCTTGTTCCTTTGATGCTACTATAAACATAAGAAGAGATTTTGTTCCTTCTCATCCCCAAATAAATCAAAGGAAAGTTATAATTAAATATTACCACAGGTATCAAACTTCTGCCCCAAGGAGATTAAAGGGATTAGATAGACACTCTCTGTCCCTTACTGCAAAAGTCACCTGGTGGTCCCTACAATGCCCACTGGGCCAAGGCAAGCTCCCAATTGCTGAGTGGGCATCATCAGTCAGCTGACAATGCCCCTGCAGGCAGGGGCTGAAAACCATGCAGGTCCTTTTCAGCTGTTGTTTGGCAACTGCTTTTATTCAACAAATGAAAGAAAAGTGAAATCTTTTGACTGATGGCTGTGATTTTGAAAAAAAAAAAAGTTAAGTAATTTTACCAAGCCCCAGAGTACCATAAGGAACCTGGGTTTTTCAGTTTCATAACCAAGTCAAAAACTGTTTTGATCAAACCAGTTTGGTGGGTTTTCTGTCACTTGCAATTCAGAAAATTCTGAACCCAAGTGATTTCCTCCACCTAGAATATACTTGGTTTACATCAGGATCACATATCTGATCACCTGCTCACTTCTGCTTGTTGCAAAATTCACTAGTTCTGCTCCTCACAAGAGACAAAGGGGAAACCAAGAATGAGAAAGAACTGACTACTAGCAAGGTGGAGTCTTCTCAGCAGAATGGCTATGGCTTTGGGGACTTCAAATTTCACTGCCCAGACGTTGCCACTTCTCCTTGACTGGCAGCGAGGATGACTGGCCTGAGCTTTGTCAGCAAGCCAGCAAGTCTTAATTATCCTGTACCAACAAGACACATGAAGACTAGGAGCCTGGAGATGAGGCATAGTCAACAACAGGGAGTGTATAAGTAGGACAACTTCTACAAAGACGAGAACTGCAGTATCCAACATGTTACCCACTAGTCACATGTGGTTATGGAGTTCTGGTGTGGCGCTGTAGGGTAAGCAAGGGATAGAAAGGTCAGTTGAACCGCAGGTTGGCAGTTCAAACTCACCAGTCACTTCTCGGAAACCCCATACAGGTGTGGAGCCAACTCCATGGCACTTATCAACAAAGATCCCACATGGAAGATAATTCTGCCACTAAAGTAGCAATTTTCCCAAAGATCTCAGAAGCCCCTGTAAGTGTTTACACAGTAAGTCAGGAAGTCCTCCCTTATCTTCTAATTAACATTCCAGTGTGGAGGTCTGGAAAGGTAACAATTAAGCAAAGGTTACTGCAGGGCAGAAGTATCCTCAGGGAAAATAGTTTGGCTAGCTGACCTTTGGAACCACCCACAAGAGACAGCTCCATATAAACAATTCAGTGAATTGTAACATATATAAATTGTATCATTCATTAAATAATAGCAGCCCTCACTAATTCCTGCTCTTTGTAGGCACTGACAGGGACACATTGGTGTGCAAAATAGACATGACGGCCTCTGTGGAGCTTGTCATCTACCACACTACGGGGGAGACTGGACTCCATCTAGACTTCAGTCAAAAAACGATCACCCAAGGAAGTAATATTTGAGCTGGGAGCTAAAACAGGGCTAGGAAGGAGTATGTTGGACAGTAAACAAGGGGTGTGGGTCCCATT